TTTTGTTTTTAAATGCAAGCTATTGTGACACCAGTAGAGTGAGTGGTGGCACTGGGCACAGTATCCACTGTGAGCCTGACACACCCGCTTTAAGGACACTGACTGCTATTCAATCTATAACAGTGAAAAAAGTTTTTTGTTTTTAAATGCAAGCTATTGTGACACCAGATATGAGTGGTGGCACTGACTGGGCAAATAGGCACAGTATCCACTGTGAGCCTGACACAGAAGCTGGCAGCAGTGGCAGACAACTAACTGCTATTCAATCTATAACAGTGAAAAAAGTTTTTTGTTTTTAAATGCAAGCTATTGTGACACCAGTGAGTGAGAGGTGGCACTGGGCACAGTATCCACTGTGAGCCTGATACACCCGCTTTGAGACAACTAACTGCTATTCAATCTATAACAGTGAAAAACGTTTTTTTGTTTTTAAATGCAAGCTATTGTGACACCAGTGAGTGAGTGGTGGCACTGGGCACAGTATCCACTGTGAGCCTGACACACCAGCTTTAAGGACACTGAGTGCTATTCAATCTATAACAGTGAAAAAAGTTTTTTGTTTTTAAATGCAAGCTATTGTGACACCAGATATGAGTGGTGGCACTGGGCACCGTATCCACTGTTAGCTTAACACACCCGCTTTAAGGACACTGGCTGCTATTCAATCTATAACAGTGAAAAAAGTTTTTTGTTTTTAAATGCAAGCTATTGTGACACCAGTGAATGGTGGCACTGGGCACTGTATCCACTGTGAGCTTAACACACCCGCTTTAAGGACACTGACTGCTATTCAATCTATAACAGTGAAAAGTTTTTTGTTTTTAAATGCAAGCTATTGTGACACCAGATATGAGTGGTGGCACTGACTGGGCAAATGGGCACAGTATCCACTGTGAGCCTGACACAGAAGCGGGCAGCAGTGGCAGACAACTAACTGCAATTACATTACACAAAAAAAAAAAAAAAGAAAAAGCAGACTGATGTTCTAGCCCTAAAATGGGCTTTTTGGGGTGCTGTCCTTACAGCAGAGATCAGATGAGTCCTTCAGGACTGTAGTGGACACTGTATACCCTAACCTAGCTATGCATTTCCCTATCTAATCAACAGCAGCTACACTTTCCCTCCTCTCACTAAGCATGCAGCTTGAGAATGAATCTAAAATGGATGCTGTCCAGTAGGTGGGAGGGTCTGCAAGGGAGGGTGTGCTGCTAATTGGCTGGAATGTGTCTGCTGACTGTGAGGTACAGGGTCAAAGTTTACTCAATGATGACGAATAGGCTGCGGACCGAACCGCGCATGTGTTCGCCGTCCGCGGCGGACGCGAACACGCTATGTTCGCCAGGAACTGTTCGCCAGCGAACCGTTCGTTGCATCACTAACCAAGAGCTGTGTAGCAGCTACAGGCCAATTTTCCTCCTAAACGTGGACATCAAACTGTTCACCAAGGTACTAGCGAGCCGACTGAACACATTACTCTCAATGCTAATACACTCAGATCAAACGGGATTTATCCCGGGCCGAGATGCGAGAGACAGCGCACTTAGAGTACTCTCCATACAACACCTTGCCAGAACTACGGGAGAGCACATGCTTCTGCTTTCCACTGATGCGGAGAAGGCCTTCCACCAGGTGGACTGGACCTTCCCGACAGAGACGCTTAGAGTGACGGGATTTGGACCAACACTCCTCGCCTGTATAGATGCCATATACAGCCGGCCCAATGCCCACGTGAAGGCGAATGGGGCTCTCACAGAAACTTTCCCAATTCAGAATGGGACCATGCAGGGGTACCCCCTATCCCCACTGCTCTTTGCCCTGACCCTTGAACCCCTTTTTGAAGCAATACGATGCAACAGAGACATTAGGGGTTTTGCTGCGAACAGAACTATGCATAAAACGGCGGCATATGCTGATGACATGCTATTTTTTGTTAAGCAACCCAGGATCACATTACCATGTTTGATGCAAGAATTCATAACCTACGGTTGCCTTTCTGGCCTCGGATTGAACCTCTCCAAATGCTAGGTCCTAAACATTACAATCCCCAGTGGGGATTGCAACTCATTACGCACCCAGTTCCGGTTCCACTGGGGAGACTCCAAGATGAAGTACCTCGGACTCTGGCTCACGACCGACCCAAATGAACTATACCAAATGAACTTCGTACCACGCCTTTCTACGATATTGCCGGATCTACGAACTTGGAATTACCAACATATCTCGTGGATCGGGCGCATAGCGCTAATAAAAAGCTTACCTAGCGGGTGGACGTATGACGTGAGACGCCACATGCGTCGAGAGGATGGGAAGATGATGGCGGTCTGAGGCTGGTGAACATTGAACAGTGCACGCCGAAATTCAGCTTATACACCATCTGAACTGCTCCCCTGATTATATGAGTCTACTATTCTGATCTGCTGGTAATACAGACCTAGTGCAAATTTCAATATCACAATTAATAAAGGTCCTGATACAGCTTTGTTACATTTAAAATGGAATATATCTTCTACCTCATCTAAGTGCCTGGCCACACATTGTTTCTTGGCTACCAAGATATTAATAGCAAGACAATGGAAGTTGCATCTTCCTTTTCAGAGGAGACAGCTAATATCCCAATTTTTAATCCAGTTCCGTATAGGAAAAAGACCTACCGGTTTCCTCCATACATTCTTTAAATAGACAAGACCAATATAATAAATGGATTCAAATGCTGGATGATAATACCCCCAGGGTGATAGTTTAACCTTAACACAATGATGCTTTGATAATTGATTTTCTCCAACTGACCATAGTTTAGATTCTTGCAAGACCAGTTCTAGATCGGTATGTATCTATTTCCTTTAGTCGATTTGCAAGGTTCTGGATTTATAGTGTTTGTCTGGAACTGTTGTTGTAAATGCAAACTTCATTTTCTTTTTCTTTTGTTATGTCTGCTTGTTTTGTATGTAATTTTATTTTCATAAGTCTTGTTATATGTATGTAAAAGGAAAAAACTTAATAAAGATTATTAAAAAAAAAAAAAAGAACATCTTACCTAGACTTCTATACCTGTTTCAAACGGTGCCGATGACTCTACCCACGGCATTCTTCTCATCTTTAAAATCAGCAGTCATAAAGTGTGTATGGAATGGTGCCCGACCGCGCCTTAGACATGAAATCCTATGCCTGCCACGACACTGGGGTGGACTAGCACTCCCAGACATACGGAAATACCATCACGCATCTACCTTACAGCTCATTTTAGAATGGCACTCCGGTTCACTCCACAAGCAATGTATCGCACTGGATAGGGCAACTGGGGACACACACCTGCTCGCGGATGTGTGGTTGGCCCAGAGCCCCATGTCAGGGGTCTCAGATCAGACGTCCTCCGCAGCCCACACCTTAAAAACATGGCACTCCATATGGAAGGCCCCACACCATTCCCGGCCCCCGAGCCCAATGGTGCCGCTGACCAACAACCCCCTGAAAGGAGGGGGCCTCACGGCTAGAGCCTTGGGCTTCTTCAGCACACAGGAATTCATTCCTATCCACGAAATCTTGGATGACACAGGACTAAAGCCCTTACGGGAATTGACTAACAACCCAACCCACCTAACACACATTCAGATACATGCAACTATGATACTTCTACTACTCACTCGAAAACAAATCGGCCATACACAGAGACCTCATGCCTTTCGAAACCCTTTGAACAAGACTACTCTCTATAAGATGACCTGATACCTCTACCAGTTCACCCTGATAGGGGACCGATCTGAAATACATACGTTCCAACAGCAGTGGGAACGCACCACGGGAACTTCTTTCACTTTCACCCAATGGGAAAAAATACTTATTCTACACCATAAATCCTCAGCAAGTACCCGGTACCAGGAAGTCAATTATAAACTCCTTTCGCAATGGTATAAAACCCCAGCACTCATACACAAGATTTTCCCGTCTACACCAACCACATGCTGGAGGTGCCAGGAAGGAGAGGTGACCCTAAGACAGATATGGTGGGACTGCCCAGTCATAGCACTGTTCTGGGCCTCGATCAACACCAAAATTGAGGAAATTATGGGCACAATGACGCCTCTGATGATGGAACAAACCCTGTTACACTCCACACCGGGGCCAATCTTGAAATAAAAGAAATCCATTCTGAGACACATTGTCGAGGGAGCAAAGGCACTCATACCTGCCATGTGGAAACAAACACAACCCCCGACACTCACGCAATGGTACGACCAGATGGAGGAGATATACTCAGCAGAGGCTATAAGGGTTCCACTGGTGATGGGCAGAAGCAACACACATGTCACATGGTGGAGACCATGGATTGAATACATCGCAAGACGGGGGTGGGATCAGGCGGGGAACTGGGAGCTGGAGGGGGGGGGAGAAGGAGTTAGTACTGTTAGATATAGACTAACAGTACCAACTCCTTTATCCCTGGACCAGAATTCCATTATCCACGATAATTCGATAGAACACAACACCACACAACCCACGGACACAGAACTGTTACTCAGCCCCTATATGGAGAATGGGAAACCGACCTGCGGAGAGGTTGGGCACCTGACAGACACCATTAACAAGAGGCATAGAGTCACAGGGAACCACTACATATAACCAGACAGCGAGTGTTACAGTAACACTCTTATATTACCTCTCATGCACACACCCGTAAATACTCAGGATTAAGGTTACAATCCTTCCGGACCCATCAGACGGAATCACGGGGAGGGGTGATGGGGATGCCGGCGCGTGGGGTCAGGGCACGCAGAATGAGTGCCCCACCTCGAACACGGGGGCACGTAGCCACACCCGAGAAGAAGGGGAGGCGGGGAGAGAGATAGAGATGACCAGCACAACCTAAAAACTAACCCTAAAGGCATGCAGATGGGGAACAAAACTCGCACAGAACAAACTGCGAACTGTTATGGGTTGGTTCCCCAGACACAACTTTCATCAACCCCGAGTATAGGCCCCCACTAAATCTCAAAGTACCACACTGAACCTAAACCCCATGAAAAACACTGAGATGAGATAGGGATCGGAGAGGAAAGGGGAAGGAGGGGGACGACAAATCCCAACAGGACACTTAAAAGGGGGGGAAAAGGAGACTCGACATTCACACATATTAACTACAAACCTACCTCTCAAGGCTTGCTATCACAAATACAGGCAGAAACCAGAGACATTACCGCATCTCACGACTGAGACACAAGGCACGAGTTAGGACAGGCGAATTCCCAAATCACACAGTTATAGCAAGACCTGCATGCCTATATTGCTATGTCCCTACACTTCATTACGCCACCAGAGTCAGTTGAACGACTCATGCGACCTGTATGTCGCAAACTCAAGAGAAGATGACTGCCCTTATGATACACCAAACGAAACCAAATAAACATAAATACATAAGAAAAACAAGGCACGAAACGATAAAATCACAATCTAAGCAAACGCACACTGCTCGCAACACACCACACCAGGGGCATGCCAGATAACAAGCTCATAAGGTTAAGGTTGCGGATCAGGGTAGTCACAGAACCACATGACTGCAGGAAGTAAGCTGCGAGACCTGCGTGTCTCACCCTCTCCGAATTGTTACCAGACCTGCGAGTCTAAACCTGTTACAGTAACACTCTTATATATTACCTCTCAAGCTGTATAAGAGACCTACGAGTCTCAGATCCAAGTCATGATGGATGATCACACGCTGAACCAATAACTAAGAAAACCATATTAAAAAAAAAGGCAATCTCTGCAGCCATTCCAATTAATAACTTATTGCCGGTTCATGTTTCATCATCACCGTGACTAGTTACACTCTTCTGTTCTAAGATTAACCTCACTCTCTGTACTAGACTTGTTTGTTACACGTTAGTGAAACCTTACCTTCTAAAATAGTGTTGTATCTGCGAAATGTCACGCAATGCATATTACCTGTTATACACAACTTTATGACTAATATTACGACTAATATTTTTCTGTTATTGGATAATCTTGTGAGAAGTGTAGTGGCATTACATGAGTCTCTGTAAAAAAATAATAATAATAACAATCATAGTGTAACACAGTAAAATGAAAAATCACAATAAGTGATAAATTGGTCCATATTAGAGTAGTGACCATGCTCTATATAACGTGTTTTCAAGTGCCTCCCTTTCAGGCTAACATGATAATCCAATGTGAAATATAGTATATCCACTACGCTACCACATTATATTACCTGTATGATGAAATATCTTGATACTTCAATTACACTGCTTCAATTACACTGGTTCCACCTATGAATCCCTATTATTATGGTTGCTTAATGTATGATTTGGGGCCTGCGAGTCTCCTAATTATTACCATGTTCATAGACCTGCGTGTCTAATCCTTCCATTTATAATTGATACCTTCCTGTTTGAGATACATATGATACCTGCGAATCTCAACTTTTTGCAATGACATATTACATTATGACAAAACAATAAAAATGATATTTAGAAAAAAAAAGACTCATTACTGATTTGTTTCAGGAAGACAGAAGAATTATAGTAACAGACATCAGGCATCAACACACTCACACCAGGCTGACTGACAGCTTCCTACTTCAGTGTTGCTAAAGCGTCCTCTGCATGGTCATAGTGGTCATAGTGCCCACCGCACAAAATGACTACTTATAATGCACTGGATGGAGATAGTAATAAAATTGGGATGGTGGGATAGAAGGGGACAGTTGGAAGGCTTGATATTGTTTGGGAATTCCTTCCTGGGTAAATCTTAAGCTATAGCAGACATTTTGGGGGCTAGTTGAGCTGATTTAGATCATTTCTGAATTGAAACGCATCTTGATAAATTAAGAGACAGTTTGGTAAATTACAAATAAGATTACATGTAGTAGACTGCCTAGTAGTCTCCCAATGTTCTTTGTCCCACTGGCTTGCTTCATGTTTTACAAAATCCAAGCAACATCAATTGGCTTTCATACTAAAGTGAGAATTACTGGGAATCAGGGCCGGACTGGGAATTAAAAGCAGCCCTGGAAAATATTTACCAGCCCCATAATGAGTCACGCCAGCATAGTGTGCAGATACAGAGTTAGAAAAGATAACTAAAAATTCAAAATTATTACTCCAACATGAAAAAAGCATATAGGCTTTAAAAAAAGAGTGCAGATTTATTTTAAGCAGACGTGCCTTTGCATATAACCAATGTTTCAGTCCAACTACCATAACGTATTAAGGAGCTTGGTAATGGGACTGAAATGGTGAATGTATGTAGGGCACAACTGTAAATAATTACGTTATCTTGTTTATTTTGAAGTCCTGTGGGTGCACTCTTCAATTTAATTATGTTATTGTGCTGGAGTTATTGTGTTATTGAGTTATTGTGCTGCACCTAGCAACAAGACTGGGCCAATATCTGCTCATTAAATATGGTACATATCAATGACATTTCTCTGTGTATTATGCATATATAAATGTACATTAATATATGTGTAAATATTAAAGGCATAATTATATATATAACTAATACACACATTAATATACATGTCATATATATATATATATATATATATACCAGTGGCGGATCCAGAGCCTGATCTCGGGAGGGGCACTTATAGATTATTTAAATAAATAATCCATGCACAATAACCACTACTGCTCTGTGTAGTAGTTATGGTGCCAGGAGTGCCGGGACCTGCTCCCAGAGTAAGTAGTCAAACCGTTTAAGAACAGTTTGACAACTTACCTGGGATCTGCTGGGATATGGGGCTGTAGTAGGGTATAGGAGCAGTGGTGCAATGTGTGAGGGGTGCAATGTGTGTGAAAGGTTCAGTGTGTAGGATGGATGTGTGGGGCAATGTGTGTGTGGGTGGTTGTGTGTGTTTAGGGCAATGTGTGTATGGGGGGCAGTGTGTGAATGTGTATGGTGTGTGTGGGGGCAGTGTGTGTATGGGGCTAGAGTTCACTTTCACTACTGCGACCACCAGGAATCCCTGGTAGTCGCAGTGGTGAGAGTGAACTCTAGCCCAAGAAGGACCAGGAGGAGCTGCAGGCTGAGCTCCCGGGTCCTCTCTTCCTCCCTCCCCTGCCGGCTGCTTGCACAGTACTTGTGGAAAGGGGAGGGAGATCTCCTCCGGACCGTGAAGGCACATGGCGCCTGGACAGTGCCAGCCCTGCATTGGCCAGCAGGGGAGAGCCTCTGGGGGGGGGGGAATTGCCCGTTGCCCCCCCTGGATCCACCAGTGATATATACAGCCCCCCTGTGTGCCTTTTTGCCTCCCCCCAGTCCCTCTGTATGTTTCTTTCTCCCCCTCACTGCTCCTCTGTGTCCATGTCTCCCTTCTCCTTCCCAGTCTCTCTCTTCCCCCTCTGCCTATTTCTCCCTCTCCCCTTGTGTGTCTCTCTCCTTTCTTCCTCGGTGTCTCACTCTCCCCCCTCTGTCTCTCTCTCCCCCTCTACCATCTCTCTATTCCCCCTCTTTCTCCCCTTGTGTCTCACTCTCCCTCCTCTGTCTCTTTCTCCCCCCCTTTCCCTGTGTCTCTCTCTCCACCTCTACCATCTCTCTATTCCCCCTCTTTTTCCCTTAGTGTCTCACTCTCCCCCCTTTCCCTGTGGCACTCTTCCTCCCCCTCTGTCTCTCTCTATTCTCCCACTGTCTATTTCTTCCGCTGCGTCTATCTATTCACCCTCTACCTTTCTTCCCCCCCATCCACCCCATCCACCTGAGAGGAGTCAGGGGGGCCGGCCGCGTTCTACGCTGCAGCCTTGCCGGTCCGGCGGCACTCCTAATGCTGAGGGCTGAAGGAGGAGGGAGCATGTCTCTTTACCATGCTCCCTCGTGGTTCCCACAATCCCCAGCACTAGGAGTGCCGCCGGACCGGCGAGGCTGCAGTGGCACATACATGCACAGCCCCCAGATGCCGCGGGCCACCGGGAATTTATTTTTAATTACTTTCCTTAACCTGCACTAATTATGCACACATTATAATTGCAAAAACTGTAAAAAAAAAAACACAAAAACTTTCATTTTTTTTTGCATTTTTCTGTATTTTGTTATAATAAATAAGCATTTATATATGTGTGTTACATCAAATTAAAGCCCTTTCTGTCCTTTAAAAAATGACATATAATATGTGTTGGTGCAATAAATTAGTAAAATGCAAATTGCAGTTGAACGCAAATAGCAAAAAATGCAAAAAATGCTGTTGTCATTAAGTGAAAGACAAGCTTCTGAAGCTCTGTCCTTAAGGGGTTAAATGGGTGTAACGGACCGTTTTGCACACAAGAGGTTAAAGGCGATATTCCCCTTTTCAGATGCACAGACAGCTACTGCAATCACCAATCTCCCAAACTGCAAACACATGAATTCACCAATCTACCGAACTGCAAACAGGGGAATGCGCCAAACTCCCGAACAGGAAACACACGAATGCTGTAAGCAGCCGAACAGGAAAAACCATATGAACAGCTTACACTCCTGGCAGTCGCACTGTAACAGCATACAATCCCTCCTCTCTGTCCTGGAGATAATTGGGAAGTAATCCAATTATCTCCAAGGACAGAGGCAAAACTCCATTGAACACATAGTAGCAAAAGACAATAAAATACATAAAAATATATAACTGTGCAACTATTGCATAAAACAGGTACATTCAACATATCCCCAGATAGCTTAGATCTGAGCGCACATTATTACTGAATGGCGCTCAGATCACATACATACAGTTCAATCGCCATGGAGCCAAAGTCTTTCATACAGTCTTTCAGTATACGGCTGGGCTCCATGGCATAGCTATCTGGGGTAGCATGGTTTAAACAGTAAAGTACCGAATGGACTGTTGTTCAGATAATTGACTGCAGGTAGGAGAAGGGAGGTCGGCGGCTCAGCGGTGTTCATGACTTTAAAAGTCCGCAGAGAGGCACGAACCAGCCTTTCTGCAGGGAAAAAAGAACAGTGTTAAACATGGGGCCATAGTCCAGCGGCAGGAGGTGGGCGACCAGGCTCCTCCAGTGGCCTGTGGTGAGATTGGGTCTTTACTTTTTAAGATGCAATAATACATTGGCACAATCCTTGTGATTACAATGCATCCACGTGACATTTTCTGAGGAGGTTCTTAATTTGTAAAAATTATTTTGTTTTTTTAGTATAGCTGTTAAAAGAGAATGCCTTAAAAGGTGTATAAAACTACATTAATGGGGGCGGGGCCTGAACGCAGCGCTTAGCAGACGCATGCAAGCACAGCTTCTGCTCTGCACAATCATTAAACCGACTAAAAGGCACAACCAAGCCCAGAAATGCGATGAAATGGGCTACCGGCGGCCAAGCGAAGCTAAACTGAACAGTTTGATACCACACACGAAGCCAAATACGCCGGTTTACCGGGATCTGCATTTGAGGCCTAGCTTGGACAGCAACCTGATTGCCGGGGGGGGCAGCCGATCTCCCGACGCAGGGTCAGCACCGCATTGCAGCTCTTCTGTTCCCCTGCAACCACCCCCTATGGACCGGTGGGGGATATCCCAGTCCCCGCTGGAGACTCGTACTCACCTACCACAGGGTAGGTGAGTACGACGGCAAGTCGCACGAGGTGCCCAGGATGGCCACCATGCTATATCCTGAACACGCTACAGAGGACCCAGGGCTCTAACAATGGAGACAGCGCTTTGAAGCCCGGTTTGATAAAATCTGCAGGGCCTTCTGGAGGCGACTACAGTGAAAACCTTCATCCCAAACCCTACAAGTAAAGCAGGAGCACGCACCAGAGGCTGTTTGTCAGACCCACCACGGGCATGGGATCCACACGGGGGTGCACCCGCTCCACCACCGAAACATTGGAAGGCTCCCCGCAAGCCACAGAGCCGTGGAATCCAGGTACATGCTGGGCAAGGCAATGCCACACTACAACCCACCAAGCGACGTAGTACAAAGCAGCGGAAAATGGAGAAGCGGTTGAGGGCAGCTGGACATAGCTAGCACAAGAGCTCTTACTACAACTTACCTCTGGCCCTCCAAATCAAGAGGAGGTCAACCGGAGCGATCCGAGCAGCCACTCTAACAAGCGGGACACTTATCAAGCATTGAGACCCCCCAGGGAGGTAAATAGAGGTACCGCTTGCCTCATCATGTGCCCTGGGAGCTTCCCGAACCTGGGGATTGGCTGAGCCAGAGACTCTCTGAGGACAGAGGACTAAGCAACTCTGAGTCCTCCATGCGAATGATGGACACCATCTCACTCTAATGCTAAACCATACCGTCATAACTAACCTGTGTCCCAGCAGTTAATTAACTAGCGAGCTCTAAACATATGTCCACATACCTCCCAACACGCATCTCGCAGACTATCACCTAATCGCTAGGACATATCACTCTTTACACACCTAAGCTTGCCTATAAGAGTTGCATATGCTGTCAGCTGCACTTATAGCACATGTGCATTGTTAATCTCTAAAATTATTATTTTATCTTCTGTCTACTACCACACACGGTGC